ATAACTTGGACTAAAAAGATAAAATTTCTCAATTCTTTATTATAAAAAATGTTTTAATTATAGTTTTATAAAACATGCTTTTAGGAGGGCGTCTTAAGATCTCGACGCGAACTGTATTTGCAACAAAGTAGAAGATAGAACCAAAATATAATTAATTTAAATGAAATACCATTAGTGATCATAGCATTTTTTAGTTAAAACCAATTTTATATAAAAATATTAATTCAAAACCAACATAAAACGTTTATTTTACATATTTTATCAAAAGTTCTGCAAAGTCATATTCATCAGCAAGACTTAAAAGTTCTGCATTTTTTACACAACAGGTCCCCCTGTAAAACACACATTTTTTGTAAATAAATTCTGTATCTACACTATCGATATTTAATGTTTCCATAATCTTAATCATTTTTTTAAATACTTCCAAACGCTTATTCATTTGAGCAACTTCATCTTTAGTAAATTTTTCTCTAAAATTTTTAGAAAGCATAAGAGGCGACGATGGCCACCACTCACCTGGTTGATCTTTATAATTTTTAAATCCATCATTTAGAATATCAATATGCTCCTCAAATACTACAAATTCACGCTTAATGTCTTTTAAGAAATATTTATCGCATAGACAGGTAAGAAGATAAATCCAAATTATCATTTAAGGATAAAGAAAAAAAATAATTTATAGTAAAAATTTAATTAAAATTAAAAAGAGTATCAAAATAATCGCAATTTATTATAATACACATTTAATTTCTAATTAACAGCGTTTTAATTTTTAATTTATTTGCAAGCATAAAAAGCTTAATATATACTCAACTAAGTTTAAAAAATTAAGAGATAATTTTAAATCAATTGCGGATAGATTATACATTAATAAAACGTTTTCAATTACAATTATTGTAAATAAGATTATTTTAATGCATGTCGAGTTTATTAATTCAATATAATTTTAACAATAAATTAACAATTTCTAATTTACAATAAATTAATTTATAAATATACGTTTTTATAAACATTACAACAGAAACACATAAACAACACTAAATTTATAAATAATTACAATAACATAACAATATTTCTAAATCAATCCTTGATCTTGGTCAAAGCACTAAATAGCTTTAAGTTGAAATTAAAAAAGTCTTTCTATTTTCAGTGCATTTATAACTTCCTTGCAAAATTTAACAATGGTAATTTTTAAAGTTATGAAATAATTATTCTATGTGTTTAATGTTTTAGGTTAGCAAAAAAGTTACTATAAAAAAAAATAAAAATAATTTAAAGAAACATCAAAGAAAAGACAAACAACGAGTAAAAACTTCAACATCTAATAATTTGTTTTACACGTTAGCATAATATAAAGATTTTACTAGTAAGAGAAATAGATTTCCTAGGATTTAATCTGCAGACATTTTTAACATGACCATAACCTACGTTCAGATGGTTCTAAAGAATAAAAAGCCAGACTTAATTCTTAGTAAAGGATCTAACCTAATAAACGTCAAATTCTAGGATATTAGCACCCCGTCGTATCACCCTCAGGTACGGTAGTAGCCATAAAAAGCGCAATTTTAATTTGAATAAATAAAACCTTTTTAGATGATATGAAATTTATATTGCAAATATTACTTACGTTTTTAGATTTATATATTAAGTTAAATATAATTGGCCTTAAAAATTTCATAAATAACTTTTTTTTAAAAGATGTATATAAAAAAAACCCAATAAATTTTTTAATACCCAGTATGTCTCCCTTTTGCATCAATAACGGCTCTACAACGATTGCTTATGCTTTGAACCAATCTTTTACATGTTTCATTATCAATTTTATTCTATTTTTTGATAGTAAATTTCTTTAACCGCAGTTTATTTTTTTGATTCTCTTTAACAAAATTAATCTTAACATTGACCATAAATTCTTGATAGAATTCAAATCAGGTGATTATGCAAGTCAAATCAAAGTGGTAAGTTTTCTATCTATTAAAATTCTTTCACATACTTGTTTGTATGCTTGGAATTGTATCCTGTTGAAATATAATTTTTAAATTTTAGTTTTTTAGCTGAAGGTGTCAAATTCGAGTCTAAAATTCTTGCATACTCTCTTAAATTCAAAGTTCTCTCAACTTTATGTATATTACCGACATCATCTGCTGAAAAACAGCCCTATGCCATAATATTATCTCCTCCATGCTTAACAGTTAAGGGCTGTTTCTTTTTATCATGTCTTATACATATTTTTCTTTCGTTACAATTTTGTACCGCCAGATTCATAAAAATTTATTTTTGATTCATCTATTAAAACTACACTAGGCCATCTCTCATTCAACCACAAATAATGTTTTTTAGCCCACTCCAAACTTGCCTTGATATTTTTTTTGACAATTGGTGTTTTTTTATAAGAAACTAGACAAAAAACACACATTTTGAAAAATTTAATCTTATGGTCCTTGCTAATATCGTTTTCTTATACTCTATTTTTATATCTTCAGTCAAATTTGTGCTAACAAGTTTAGGTCTTCAGAAATTTAAATCATCATTGTTAAAAAAAATGGGTCTACCTTATTCAATCTTCCTCTCATAATTTCCTGTTTTTTTAAGTTTTATTTAAAATCGTGTGATGATTGATAAATGTACTTCGTTTCTTTAAAAATTTTTGATTGTTATTTTTTTTAAACATACCTTAATCTCAATTTTTTCATCCAGAGAAAGTTTTTTAGCTATGAGTTAAAATTTTAAATCCTTTTTATTTTTTTAAAAATTTGACAAAAATTTACCTCTTTTAATCAAAAATTACAATTTTTTTAACAGGCATTTAAACCTTTATAATTTACATGTACTTATGTATTTTCTTCCTTAGATTTGATAAAAAGGATTAATATTTTGTGAAAACTATTTGGTTTGAAAGTTAATATTATCTTAGTAAAAATACTACATTAGTTTAGAAAGATTATGTTTTTATTGCCACTACTATATGTATCTCTTATACATTATTTTAAGATCTTTAAAGTTTTTTTTAATACAAAAACGTTAACAAATAAATTAATAAATTATCTATGTAAGCAACAATATTTATTAATATAAAATTATTTTGGTTGCACTGCTAACTATTTTATTGTCCGTTACTAGTAGATATTTCCATCCTTATAAAAAAATTGAAAATAGCTAACATTTTTAATGTAAAATAATAAATTATGTTGTATTTTTTTGCTTGTATTGTATCTTTGATATAAAACTTTACTGATTTTTAATTTTTCTTAATTAATTATTTTTTTAACATACCTTTAAAACATACTTTCACAATGCTCTATTTATTTTATATGCCAATTCTTCTTTATTATTTCTAAAAAATATGCATAAATTTTTATTTCTAAATATTTTTTCACTTTTGAAATATTGTAAGAAAATAATGAAAAATTACATACTGCATTGAATGCCCCATCCTTCTTCAGATAATCTTTTTAGTCTTTCAAATTTACAGAGTAATTAGAAACAAAAATTAAAATTACACAGGTAAAATAGAAAGATCATATGAAGTGAAATGTAAAGATGATAATTGTTATGAAAAATGCCTTACACAATTTTATTTTTAAATATATTTTTTTGTATACTTTTTTAAAATTTCATGAATATTTTTTTATATCTTTTTAATTTATTTAAAAATTTAATTATTATGGAAAAAATTGTGAAAAAAAGAATATGGAAGTAGTAATTCAAAGAAATAACAACAACAATTATAATTAACTATTATGAATTATGACAAAAGAATTTTATCAAAAAAAAACAAGACTATGCTCGTAAATACATGACAATAATGTGCTTGTAAAGGTTAATAAAGACATCATAAATAAATAAAGACTTTAAAATTTTTTAAAAATTTCTTCGTTTTAGTAAGATTTTCTGCTTTTATTAAAGTTTACGGAGATACAAAGAATGGTTTTGAACTTAAATACATAAATGTTGGTAAAGACAATTATAAAATTATTATAAATTTTTCTTGTATATACATTTATGCTTTATCTTTATGTATAATTACTTGTTTGATGAAGGCCAATGTTTAACAATTTTTAAATTGTAAATTTTATTTAAGAAATGTGATAGTATTGGCGGGAAGTTAGCCAGTGCACAGAAAGTTCTCTATTACACTTACTACCCGATAGAAAAGGGTTTGATTAGTATAAAATGTACTTTATTTATACTTGTAGAAAATGATTCCTATTAAGCGAATTCAAGTTATCGGGGTTCCTATCCTGCATTGGCATGTAGTTATTGTTTAATGTTAAACATCCAGTAGTTTCAGATACGAATGAAATCACGATGTCTTTAGCTTGTTTATTTGTTTGTTTACATGTTTCATGTAAAACTATAAAAACAAATCCTAAATAAATAAAAATGTCATTTATAATTACCTCTTCTAAGTCTTCCAGACCCAAACGGGCTAGAAGTGTACCATTTCCCGAGAGTTATTTTTCATTCTTAAACAAAATTTGAGGTTCCTTAATAATTTTTATTAATACGAATTTTTCAAAAACTGAATAAAAAATTTCCATGTGTTAATTAATACTACAAGAATGTATTTTAAATATATGTTATTTTAACGTTTTTAAGTTATTTTACAATTTATTCTTATTTTTTAAAATTTTTACCCTATTTTCTATGTATGGATTAAAAGCACGTTTAAATAATCAACAAGTGTTTTTAGAAATAAAGCAAAAGAAA